AATTTATTAATTGAACAACTGTAACCATATGTACACAAGAGTAGAAAGCAGGGATTGCAACAAAATGAAGTATAATCCATCTAATAAAGTCAAGGCTCCTTGTCCGCACTGCGCCCACTAACTTTATAAAAGTCGCCAGCAAATCGTGTACGTCGTCCGTTTGTAATTTGTCCAGGCAATGGTAAACCATCGGCAAATTGCATATCGAATGAATTGATTCAACGGTATTATTTTTTGTGCAATAAAGGATTACGGATACTGACGACCACGGATCTCCAATGAAATGTCATCTTTACAAATTGTCGAAATAAAACATGTTAATTTTCATTCTATCATTCATCTATTCATATTTCCAATTATTTACAAATTGCTCGCACAATTTTGACGGGACTTAGACTGGAAGGTAGCTGAATAATGCTACGTATTTTTTTCAACGTCGCGAACAATTGTTTGTGACTAAATTGGTCGGATTCGGCGAATCTTTGTGGTTTGTCGAGGCGAGTTCTAGACGGACGGGGTACGCGATTTGCCGGTGACATAAACTTGCCCAATGATATAACGCAAACCGATTAGCGAAAACTTTCCATTGCTAATGAATTTCTGAAACTTATAGCACACATGCAAAAACAATCAAAAACTTGTCTAATTACAGATCAAATAGTAAAGGCGTTTATACATTTTCAAAAATAGATTATATGTTATATTTAGAAACCATATATGAATAAGGTATTTTACAATAGAACAATATAATAATCCGAATCTAAAAAAAGTTTGTATAAAATAACTGAATAGCTTTGAAGGCTTATACTAAGAAAGAACAGCATAATGAACTTTGTTGTACTGCAAATAGAGTATAAAATTACTAAACACCAGTTTGCTAAACATATAAATACATGCTGAATGCTTGCAATGCAATGATCATAATGTTTGCTCACTGTTTAATATATATTGTGACACCTTTACAGATACTTCGATTAGGCCAATAGTGCGTATTGACTCTTAACTACCGCAAAAAGTTAGGTGTTACTTAAAAAGTAGCTTAGTGTGGGTTTTATACTATTATACTCGTGTATACTAAAGTAATCATCATAGTAATCATACCAATATTATAAATGCGAATGTTTAAATGGATGGATGAATGTTTGTTTGATAGTATCTCCGGAACGTCTGAACAGATCTTGATGAAATTTGGCACAGACGTAGAACATTGTCTGGAAGAACACATAGGCTACTCATTTAGTTTTTTTAATTGCGCGCTTTTTAAAACCAGCTAAGTAGTTTTTGAGTTTATTCGTTACATACAAAAATACAAATCATTCTGAGATTTCATCGCATTTACTAATGCAGTAAATATTATCAAATACAATAGTGTGGATAAAACGTAACACTATCCTCCTGTGATATCACAATTAAGTTTTTGATTTAGCAACTGACATATTGTCACGTGAAAGACCTTTCAATGAACAAAATAAGTATGACGCATATATTGCGTCTGGTCCGGCATTGAGACATTGTAAACATAAAAATCACGTAACTGTAACACCGGTTATTGAAGCGTCTAGTGCTTATATGCTTTAATAAGCTCTTACTAATAAATATTATATCTTTCAGTAGGTATAATGGATAAACTACTACACATCTAACCAAAACATCGTTAATACAAAACCCAAAATGTTATAACTACACTACAGGTTAAGAATTTATTAAGAAAAGTATTTTCCAGAGGTACGCTAATATCCTTGTAAAAATTATGTCACGCTCACCATGGGTTTCCCAGTTCATAATCCCCGTTTAAAACATATCGTTATATTTGTTTCGTCAAAAATAACGATATAGAAGACAGGAATGATGATATTACACAGAGATTATGATGTCAGAAGCCCACGGTTAGTGCATGAACGTGTAGAATAAACACAGTTATTTGATTAGGTTTTTAAAAGCGTCAAACTTTTGAAAACCACCGTGACTTATGTCTGACTATTAAATGAGACCAAGGTGTTTATATTGAAGATTAATTGCTTAAAAAGTCATTCGGCAGATTCTATTACTTCACATTATACCACCAATGATTCACCTGTGATCTTATTTAAAAACTTTCCACGGCCGCAGTGAGTTGCGACAACATTTCGACAACTGACACATATCGTGAATTACGCAGCCGTGCCTTAAAACACAACAATTGTAATATTCATATTTAATATAATACATTATGACAATATTTTATTAGAAATCAGCTCTATGACTACTATACAGCTTAAAACGTAAAAAATCTTTGTTGATGGTAGCAGTTTGTAGCGATGATTTGGATTATAGCTAATAATATTGATAAAATTAACTGTCACGGACACCAACATTTGTCATTTTCGAGCAATCACCTATACATATATAGCAAATTATAGAGATCAGTGGTTTTTAATAATGTACACCATTACAATGCAATGTATGTTCCGTTGTCATAGAGTAAGAGATCGTCATAGAGAAGTCAGTAAAAAAAGATTGCAAATGAGCTGTTACATCTTTTTATTTTCGGTGCTATTTAACATAATTATAATATAAATTGCTCAAGTTTGAATAACTTAATGCGTGAATATTCAAGTAACCCGGTTAATTATACGTGCTCTGCTTTAAATTAAAATGGTTTCACTATTTTAATTACAGGGCAGATGTGAATGAAACGCCATCATTTAATATTTTGTTACAATTTATACTATACTTAAGTAATTGTAAATAATAAAACTTGTGTAAAATAAGTGTTTTTTCTTTGCTTTAATTAATTTTATTTTCACGGAAATCCTCATACGCTATGATCTCCTAGTAAATTGCAAACGAAAATTTGCACAAAAGTATGTCAATGGCGCCATAACAAAATTATTTATTCATCAAAAACTATTACTAATATAAAATTTCACTTATTTTTAGAATATTTATTGTTACGTTAGAACAAAATACACACAATGCAATAAATTTCCAGCAATAATTCGATAACAAGCCCGTAACGACGCGATGTACGTTTATGTAAGAAAGCACTTAAATAATAAACTATTCAATAAAAATGTAAAATATACGACGTACAATTATTACTTATGAGACTAAATGAATTACAAAACACATTACCGAACACAAGTCCACGTTAATGAAATGAATTTAAAAAGCAAAATTGAGAAATGCTAATAAGAGTGTATTCTACAGGTCAAATCGTCTTCTTCCTCTCCTAACCTTTTCTTTTAAAGCAAGGATGAGAAGGAGAGACTACTTGCATATAAAAAGAGAAAATATCCTTGTTCTGAAGATCCATTCCTTTGTCCATTAAAGAGAAAAACCCAACTGTAACCCATTTATCTTTAGCGAAATCCGGGTTACTAATTTTTTATACGTATACAAAAATGTTACTAAAAACGATGAGTATGTTGACGTACGTGAATGCATGTATAATAGATGTGGCGAGACCAGGAGTGCGCCAAATGGAAGTGCGTGCTCACTGCCTACCCCTGTTTGAATTATGCGGCTAGTTATGCTATGCTACTGCGGTAAAATCTAGCTACGAATAGATTTATGATAATATCTAGAGTGATCAGTTAGACCTAGGCATACGCTTCCATATTTGTCGTTTATTCAAAACGAACCTGCTATAAGGAAGTCCAATAAATTCTGTGAAATATATCGTAAGTGAAGGTACAGGGACGTCAACTTTTACTGAACGCCGGCGCTCGATAAACAACATTTCTTTGTCCTTGCTAAATAACATAACTTATGGATACTACTGTGAAGTTAAATACTTTTAAGACTAGCTGTCGCCCGCAACTCCATCCAACCGGATTTAAAAATATCTCATCAGTAGCCTATGTGTTTTTCCCGACTATGTTCTACATCTATGCTGAATTTCTGCAAGATTTGTGATCCGTTCTGAAGATACTGGCAAACAAACATTCATCTATCCGTCCATCGATCCATCTGTCTAAACATTCGCATTTATAATATTAGTAAGAAGTAGGATAACGTGTTGACTAAATATGTCTCAATACAAGTGTTATTGCAGTCAAAATGCACAGTGAGGTAGGTCGTAGTATAGGAACTTAACGTTATTGTTGAGGTCGAGAATATTAAAAAACGAAACTACATTAATCTTTGCTTATATCTAATGTTCGCTTGGGCCCACAGAACAAATATTGAGTTAAAAGTGAGTCGTGTATAATTAAATCTCTAAATTACATAAGTAAACTATTAAAATGCTAATAAATATAATTAAAGTTTAATATAATAATTTATTTAGTTACCAACACGTATGAAATATGCGTAAAATACAAAGTATTTTGTAAGCGCTCACTGAAGTTGCAAACGAAGAGCTTTCCCTGCTCCCTGCAAAGCACATTCGAGTTCTCAATTCGACGTGCGTTGCATATCGTAACATTACGTTATTTAACGTCATTAATAAAAACAAAATGCTGATGAAAATAACGATTAGACGGCTATTATTTTAGCATATTTAATATGGCGTTACATTATAACAGCACAAACAAAATGGACCAACATGGAATTACATAAGAATTTACATCGCTATACCCAAATATAAATTCAATTAACTTTTACATATAAGTAGTTGGAATACATCGTAATTGTGTTCGAAAATAAGTTTTATAAAAATGATTTCATCGGTGTATTGCGTAGTTTTCGCAAAGTATACTTTGGAGGGATACTATAATAATTTCAAACTTTATCGTATGTAGTTAGTGAATACTGGTCAAAAATTTCGCCTCCTTAAGTACCCGAACATTAGAATAGGCTACATAGCTTATTAATTAAGAGTAGACATGTTCAGTTAATTTAATAATGCATAAAGAATCATCGTGCAATGCCTTAAGCACGAGGCATTTCTCTTTAATTAACTTCAGGTAATAAAGAAAGAGGACGTTGGCAATTTCTGTCAAATGCTAGTAATAACTAGTCATAAATATAAAGCGAATTAACCATTGTTCTCGAAGTCGTTGTATTTATTTACTCACCACATCTGCGAATGTCGGGATGCTGGAATTGGATGCCAGAGCATCGGTCAGGACCAACAGCAGAGCGAGGGCCAGCCACATCCTGACCACATCACGCAAACACCACTGCACTACATCAACTTTACACCAAAATAATTTAATTCATCGTTATTTGTTACGTATTTTATAGAAAAATGCGTAATAAATATAATTTAAATTCCTAAATTAAAATGCACCATTACTCCTCCCTATTTTTTTAATAATAAAAAATAAAACTATAGTATCAGTAATTTAAAAAAAATGTCTAAATATTATTTTCGGACGAAACAACGAGTGCGGCGTTTGGCGGCAAAATGTCTGTCAGCGCACGCGCGGCCGCGCGACGCGAGCGCCATTGCCCAACGCGACGATATCCTAGCGACCTTCGCTTATCCCCGCGGACGATGCGTGTCGAATAATTAAATTGTTAACAAACTTTCAATTACCTAACAACAAACAAATAAAGCAGGGAAAACTGGGGAAAACACCTAAGGAATTAAAACTTAGGAAGATTTATTCATCACCGAATATAATTTATTTTTACAATTAATTAACTAAATACAATAAACTAAACAATCCTTGTTAATTTAGTCTTATAACGCTTTTCTGAACATTATTTTGTTTTTATTTAGGTCCATAAAAGGTGAAAAGAAACTCTTAGTTTGACAGCAAGTCACAAACAAGAATGAAACGAGGAAATCCATATGAGTCAATTAGGTTAACCACAGACAAAACTCGTCTTGCATTTGTCGCTATTGGAACAGAATTCTAATTAAAAAGTAGATGTGTAACATTGTAAATGATAGGCATGTGGTTCGAGTTGAGTTAGTTTAACTTTTTTATTGTCACTAACTGATATATTTCTATCCAAACTAACAATTCTCAATTAAAACGACTTATAAGGATGTGTTCCTTCGTTTTGTCAGGTAAATTAAGTTACAGCTGAGCGAATACGAGGTGCAAATATTATTGATTACCGGAGTTTCGTTAGCATATTTCGCAATTTCACGATTATAGAAAAAATATATTATCGTACATACATTTGTATACGTAAGTGATTTAGAAATGGTCAATTTGATAAATTTTAACGACATCGGGCAATTTAATTTTAAGGTTACCTACATTTTAATGTTTACGTATTTCCGGTGGAAGTCACTTCCTGTTGGTCGAAAGACAACTTTTTGCTTAATGAAATAAGAAATATTGATGCGGTTAATTAATTAAACATTTGCATGGGAATTAGAATTATTTAAATATCTAATAGATTTTGCGGCAAAAATAAATATAACCGGGGCTTAGAGCTTAGGAATGTCGTTAATTTCATCTCAATTTGTTGCCTCATGAGCAAATTGAAAAGGTATTCAATTAATTTTTGTTTAATTAAAACAGATTGGATATAAAATTACATACTTATATTTGTTTTAGCTTTCACCGAACAAGTGAATTAGAAATACATAAGGTGTTGTTTCACAAACAAATCGGATATAACTAGCTTAAAAAGCTTTGATGGTTGCTCTTCATCATCATCACCTTATTCCAGTTACTAATATTAGTTATTAATAATTAATAATTCGTTGCATATTAACTAAGAGGTTATTAAATGTTTATTTCCTTAGTAATAACTCTTGAGTGCAGAATTTATCATTCTGCCAAAGACGTGGCATATTGACCACAAGAACCTTTGCCTTTTTAATCATGAAAAAAGATAGGTGAACAGAAAAGAGAATTGCGCGGGAAGTGTTAACAATGATATTTAGTCATAAATAGTGTTTAGTTGGAATTTTTAATGAAATGTTTGTACATACATTAGTGTAAGTATAACAACATTTTGGCTGCCGTGATGCTGATTTCAATTTAAACAATAACAAACTTTTCAATCTCATTAATTAGCACCATAGTTAATATCAATTATCATGCAGAAAGATGGCTATAATCATGTCGTACGGTGCCGGCTTGAAAACCTATTGTTATGCGTTAACTATACTATAATTATGAGTAAAAAGCTCTCACAAATGAGAAGACAAATACATAAATTAAAAGCATTAGCTAACAGGTGCATTGGACATGCGCCCTTGTAAAATATTGACAAGTTAAAAGAAAGCAGAACTTAAAGGAAAAAAATCGAAGTACTGTCATCTTAGCAATTCCTAAATAATAGTGTAAGTTAATTTAAAAGTATTTACAAGGCAAGTAAAAATATTTTTCAATGTTTCCGCCCGGGATCGAACCGGGGACCTTGTGCGTGTGAAGCACACGTGATAACCGCTACACTACGGAAACTTGAATATTGTAACAGAAAATATCAAGAGCAAAGAGATTTATTTAATTAGGTCAGTATTGCCTACGGGAAAACCACCATTTATTATTCACTAAAATCCATACAACAACTTGTATTAAACAACGATATTAACAAACCCTTTGCACAGACGCCTTAACGGACATCGTGCCTGCATTTATTATTTAAAGGTAATATTAAATGAATTGATTAAATATTAGTCAGAAGTTACAAGGTATATTAACATTTAGGCAGTCATCAATCAATAGAAGTGTATTTTCAAAGACTAGATGATTACAAGCCGTCTTTGCAATGATGTCCAACTTATCCAAAACGCATCCGCCCCAATGCCCTCCTTCGACTACTCTTACGTACTAAATTAATTCCGATCACAAAACTATGTATTACATAAAATATATTATACATGAGTAAGAGAAAGTGAATAATGACACAAAAAATGCTTACATTTACATTAATAAAGTAAATAGTCGTATTAAATAAAATTTACATGTCACCAAAGTTGAATCAATGGGGCCGTAGACATTATAAATAATAGATGTAGAACGCTGTTTTTTTTTTTCACGAGGCACACAATTATTCTTAATTAGGACTCAGCAAATCTACTATTCTGTATATTTACATAGTCTCTTTACTATATTAGTCAGACAACAAATAGTAATAGATTCCAAACATTGTTGAAATAACTGCAATATCAGGGGTATTAATCCCAAAATAAATAAGGCCAATTTATTACTCAAAACAACAAGATAAGTTCCTTAGAAACAAAGTAACCTACTGCAAGAAAATGTCTACAATTTTATTGCATTACATTACTAGATTAGCAAACTGCATGAGCCAAAAATGTAGCACAATTTGCGAAACGCAGAATGCTTTTAGTGAATACAATTTCTCATTACTGTGATATGTCATATTATGTTCGTCTTTCTTCATTTTATTTACAATGAGACTTGTATCTTAATCTCATTATGAAACAATAGTTATCTATAATATTGTCAAATTCTCACGTTTAGTATTGTCAAATATGCGCAAAATATTTCAACAAACACATTTCGGGTGTTTCCCGTTGGGCCGATGGACCTATCGATCAATTCCATATTTCGTTGTCCAAATTAATGTTTATTTCACACGTCTACCTCGTACTCGTTAACTGGCGTGACAATGATAAAAAAGACAAATAAATTCTAGTAACGAACAGACGATTCATTTCATCGCTGTCACAAATCAATCGCGCTAACTCGTAATAAATATGCTAGCGACCATTTTAAACGTCGGCTAAACTTGAATCCCAAGCGACTTTGCGACGGGTAATTAATACAAATAGATTCGCCATAATTTTTCTTTATCTGGGATATTTCTGGCTTTATAGATATAACTAATTGCTTGAAGTAAGTCGATAGAAATTCGTAGAGTTCTTGATAATGTTTATCTAAACCTTCGTGAAGATTAATGTAATAACGATGACGATTGTTAGATAGCTAAAGCTACCATATGATCTATATACTTGGTGTCCAATGATATGCGATGTATGTTAAAAAGTATTATGTTACTATACTACAATTTTGTTCCTAGTTTTGTATAGAAAAAAAAATCTAATCCTACAAACACATTGTGGTGAACCTATAAACGAATGACATAATTGGATCCCTCGATAAGTTTCGCAACATATTACCGCATTAGAAAGCCGAGCCTGTCCACGTAGGTTCCTCTTGGCATGCCTTAAAAAGTTCGAGAATTGTCGCGGTTAAAATTCCCGCCACGGGCTGCGTGTCAGGAATCAGCACATTAATATCATTCGCAAATCGAACGACAGAAGTGGGTCACACGTGACATGACTTTTGTCGCTTAATTCATTATTTTAGGACATTCATCTTATCTACCGATATATTAAGTAAGCTGTTATATCTAACTCGTCACCAATTAAGTTATACTGTTGGTTAGTTGGTGACAGTTTTTTTAAGAAGTTTGCAAAATAGCAATCATTTATATAATCCACCAGAGCTTTGGTCTCCCTCGACCTCAGCGCCCTTCAATTATTTGCGAAAATGTACTTGGCTTCATCCATCTTCACAATACTTCAATGTTTTTAGGCAGGCAGACTATGAACATAAAAATCCTGACATGAGGGCGGCACAATCTCTATGGATGTTTCCCATTGGGTTGATGGATCAGTGGGCCTATAACAGGAAACACCATAGATATCAGATAATATAGAGGTCAGTGGGAAACACCCATTTCTATGAATGTTGCAACACTTTACATTAATGTCGTTTAAAAATATAAATCCAACGAAATTGTTATTGCCATTACAACAAATTAGTTCGGTAGGTTTTCCGCGAGATGGCGAGGCGAGGCTATCTCATATTTATACACGGAATCAATAAATCATTGCTAAATAAATCTCTTACGATGAACTTTTCAAAACCTTCATTAATTTTGTTTTATTGCAATTCTAAATTCTCATCAATCAAGTTTTTGACATAACTTAGATGTCATATCTTACTGTCAACGTCAGTCTGAATTTCTGACTCATTACGATTTTACCTTTAAAATCTGAAATAAATTACTTTTGAAATCTAAATTAAATTCCGTAAATTAGTCTAGCCATGGCTTATTTAACCCAGCCAGATTATGTGAAGTATGCTTGCTCTTGTGGTCAGATCAAACCGATAACAAGCTTGTATTTTTGTCGCCACTGCTTGCAGATACGCTGCGGCTTTTGTATATGCCATGAAGTAAGTGAATCAAATATGTAAATTCATCACGTATTTTAAATATTAAATCCAATAATAAAAACTACTCCATAATACAATTTTACACTTTTAGAACAAAGTATTTTAGAACCTTTTGTATCTTAAGTATACCGTTGTAAGAGTCTACACCGTTACTAAGGAAGTAATTTGCTGGTTGCTATTGATAGTCCTAATTTGGTAGTGATCATTCTATTAAATATTGGTGATATATGAGTGCTTGTCTGAGTACAATACAAATATATATCACTAATAACTATACTAACTCTGTTCCCCAAGGTGGACTCTCATTACTGTGCCAACTGTCTGGAGAACATGCCATCATCAGAAGCAAGGCTGAAAAAGAACAGATGCAGCAGTTGTTTTGACTGCCCCAGTTGCTTCCATACACTTTCTACAAGGTAAACTTTGATATGTTACAATGATGATTCTTTTTATATGTATAATTAATATCTTATTAAAATATTTTCAATCTGCTAATAGTATAATAAAGTTTTTATCCATTTTAGGGCCACACTGGCTCAACCGCGGCAAACTCCGGAACAAGGATCCGGTGACTCTAAAGTGGAAAATAAACAAGCCAAGAAAATGTACTACCTGTCCTGTTTTAACTGTAGATGGACATCAAGGGATGTTGGTATACCAGACCAGCCTGTAGGTAAATCTAATTTTTATGGTATTTATATCAATTCAACACCATAATTTTGTAAAGAGGAACATCAAATTTCCATATATGGCAGCCATTCTTTCACTTTTTCCTTTTTTTGTCAAATTACTACATAAAGTCAAGTTATTGTAAACAAAAACACAAGATATGTGCGTAATTGTTGTCAAATTATTCTTAACAAGACCTATATTGACTTTGATTTTATATCTTTCTTGTAGCCTCAGGTGGTTGGCCAGAGAGAGTAAATCCAAATGCGACCCGCATAAACCAACTCCTTGACTACTATAAGGCCATCGCCCAGCAGGAAAAGCAAGAAAAATTGGACAGGGAGCGGAAAAAGTTTGCAATCAGAGGAAAATACATTACTCTTACTGTTTGTACTAATATTAAATTGTTATAATTGAATTTTCAACTGTATTATATTTGACAGTCAACAAATTTTTCATCATCATGATTTGTAGTAGAAATGTCATTGTTTTGATAAACATAATTTTTAAAATTTCACATGGATAAGGTATCAGTACTAACCAGGTTGTGAATAATGAAATATGGTTTGAACAGGATAAAACTGGTTTAACTGGTGCAATGGCTCGGAACATAGCCGGCCTACCTTCCAGTGAGAGTACAATGTCTGCAATAGCCAACTTTGTGCCGAGTGAGGCCTCCGCTGAGGTTGAAGAGTTATCAGAGGATTTCTACACTAAGGAACTGAACTTAAATCAAAGTAGGTTATGTATATCAAAGTTATAAAATAATTGACAGCCATAATTTTTTTTTTTTTTGCGAACTTCATTTTTCGCGTACACTTATTGTCAAAAAAAATTGCCCGTTACTGTGCAATAATCTCTTTAAAATAAAGTTCAACAGAAGGATATGTACTTATGAAGGTATTCATGTAACGATTTATCAATTAATCTCCAGTAACGAGCATGCCACAGCGGCTTGCTGCTCCGGAGTGGCAGCCGAGCAGCGTGTCACGCCTGTATCCAATCGCTAAGCTGCTGAGCGTGAAGCGCAGTCAGCGCTGCCGGGCCTGTGACCACAACCTCACCAAGCCTGAGTACAACCCAGGATCTATCAAGTTTAAAATTGAACTCCTCGCATTGTAAGTCGATATAAGCCATGTGGATAGTAGTTTGAATCACCTGGATAGTTTTAAAAGACGCTTTGATAGTTTATAAGTCATCTGAATAGTTTTGTAAGTCACTTATATAGTTTTTATAACTCACTTGGTTAGTAGTTATAAAAGGCACTTAAAGAGCTTGACAAACTGACAACTTTTTATAAATATTTATAATTTGTAAGAAATGATAACTAATAATCGTTGACATAGGAGTAAAATGTAAAATCTGTAGCTATCATGTGCCGGAAGTGAAGATAATATCATACGAGCCGATAAAGCCGGGCTGCACGTCTGCGCTGCTGCTGAAGCTGACCAACCCGACCGGTCACGAGATGCAGGTGCGTCTGCTGCAGCCCGAGGAGGTGCCCGACACTGAGGACAGGCTGGAGGAGCCCAAGAGTCTAGAGAAGTCGCTCGAAAAGTCGCTCAATTTGGAAAAAGTTAGTACTGTCGTGTACCTTTAGAGAAAATAAAGGAATATATTAAATAGAAATGTGTAAATGTTATTATTGTGGTAGGACAATCTGTGGTACGAGACGGTGCAGCGCAAGGCGGACGTCACGGCGACGTGTCGTGTGGTGACGCCCGACGTGACGTTGACGTTGGCGCAGCGAGACGACGCCGCGGAGTACGACGACGACGCCACGCACGATGCCAACGAGTTAGTTACAACTGTTTATTACACGAGCAAGTGGCCACCTGAATCGCCAATAGTGACGTGACATGGACTGTGTGGTTTTACTGGCATCAGATAGTGCTTTTCATTGTGCCAGCGCTGACTTTGAGTGTTACTGGCGTACTGTACTGGCACAATGTGAACAAGAGATAATTTACTGTTACAGTATAATCCTGTGGCGCAAGTCCAACAAGCTGGCGCTGCGGCTGCAGGTGAGTTGCGGCGCAGAGATGGGTGCGGGCAGTGCTGCGGAGGCGGCGCTGGCGCTGCAGTACCGGTACCGCAACACCGTGCCTGCCGCACACGAGCCGCGCGACCACACGCTGCATGCCACACTGCTGCTGCAGCTGGGACATGTCTCTGGGTAAACTAACTCTGCTGTCCCACTAACACGACTATTTTTATCTTGGTTTAACTCTTTTCAAATATTATGGCGGTCCAAAGTCATCGGCGCGCTGCCCATTATACCTAATATTGTGTTCTGCGCAGCGATTGCAAAGTTAAGAGCCGCTAAGATATATGAAAGCAATTATACATGAAAAGGATTTCGACTAGAACGGCCATGACCTATCATAATCACAGTCCTTAGCGGCTAGAGACATGCAGTCACAGTGGAAAATGGGTGTAACTAATGTTACTCTACATGCAGAACAAGCTTGTATGGGAATGTTTGATTTAATTGAAAACTAAATAGTAATACAGGTGCTTTCATTATCTTTTTATAAAAATTAATGAGAAAAGTAGCGCTTGACATCAATCAAACTTATTGGCAAGGTGATGTCTAGAGATAGTATACAACTCTAGTTTAGTGGCAGTCTATACATTCTTCTCGGGTGAATTAATTATTGAAAATGTATGTAATTTTATTCCTGATGTCTCGAATCCATATGCACTAGTCTGAGAATAAACTCCATATGTAAAATTGTTTATGAAATATTAAACAAAGCACAATAATTTATATTTAACATTGTAACCGTAAATTCAGTTCAATTATACAATACTTTGTGTATTTTAATAAATTTATTGTTGAATTAAAATTATTGATGAATTAGGATTTGTAAATAATATTAAATTGCTATAAAAAATATTATTTTGGCAAATTTTCTTCACATTCAAAAAGTAATATATTATTGTAGTTCATATGACTTTGTAACTTTATTTTCAGCTGCATAATATATTAATTTTAATATAGTGATATCTTAAAACATTCATGTATTTAATATTAATCGCTTTCTGTAAATGTAAAGAAATTATCATGAAATTCCACTATTATTAAAGTAAGAGACGAAAAAGAGATTTTTAAGTATTAATAAATAATTTATTACACTTTTACTTTTTTAGTTTTATATAAAGATTCGCATTCTCACTATATTTATATATGCTTAAGCATAAATACAGGTTGTTTTTCTTAAATGTGGTTTTGTTTCATCTTCCTATCCAACATCCCTTTAATTTTTATATTTTATGATTTTTTGATAATCAAAATTCTATTTCCAGTTCTATCATATAATCTTTGCATGAAGGCATTGCTTTGATGAGGTTTTTAAACTTTGGAATATGTATAGAATTTATTGATGGGTTCTTCAATATAAATAAAATAGTCAATAAACATCATCATTTTAATAACCACATAAGTACCAACCTGTGTATAAAAGAAACAAACAAATAAAATAAAACCATTGAAATTATATTCCCGTTTATATTACCCCTAGCATCCCAAAATGTAATGAAAATTTATTTGCCCGCAAAAAGATTGAGTATTTATTTAAATAATCCCACAAGTTGTTTAATTTTTCTATTACAAGCTAAGTAATAAAAATTCGTAACAAAGCCTTAGCCTAACAGTCAGTAAATGCATATAAAATTTATCCCTTTCATAATAATCTCTGAATTTGTGCAGCCTGGAAAGGCGTTAATGCTTATTTTACAGTCATTTATGAGTATAAACTTTTATATTTACTTGTTTGATAAGTTGAACATCATTGAACCTGAGTCTTAGCAGAATAAATTACATCATTGATGCCTACTCCGTCATAGCTGCTGCCAACAAGAGAAATTGGTAGGTTGTGGTCTTGTATGTACTGCCTCACATTATCTACTCTATCGTAATGACCTATAACATATTGAGGAATGCACTTATTCAGAATTTGAACATGATGTGCTGCCGGTTTCTCCTTTATGTTCAATATGGACCGTACTTCACGCTGCGCTATCTCAAACAACTCTTTTTCAGTTATATTCTGTCCAAACTTTTCTTCAAACCACCTACCACCCAACATCACAGTTAAAACTGTACCATTTTGATCAGGAAGACAGCAGGAGTCAAACACCACACCAAGAATAGGGGAGTTCTCTATAGGAGGCACCAAAAATCCAAATGCAGGTGAAATAAGGGGCTTGTCTGTATCAAAATAAAAGTTGACCAAGCCAACTGTCACAAATGGTATACCTTTCAGGTTTGCAGCCAGATCTGGATGCTGTTTCTCAACTAAATCTGCCAAAGCATGTGATGGTATGGAAGAATACACATGGTTTGCCATTATCTCTTCTCCAGATCTATTGATCAACTTTACAGTACTTGAGTCAACAAATTGTATCTCATTTACTTTGTTGTTCAATTTAACATCAACATTGTTCTCTCTGAGATGCTGCAACAAGGTGGCTGGAAAATTGGCAATACCACCTTTTATTGTATACACATTCCATTTCTCCTCCTGAGCTCTTTTTGCTAGTTCACTTAAATATAGATCATTGTCATTTTTTCCCTTCATGAAAGACTTCATCATACCTTTCATGACACCTCCATAATTCTGTTCCCACTCAAAAAGTGTTTTCATAAGAAATTTAACAGATATTTCTTTGGCATCTCCAGCACAAATGCCACATATCATAGGAGCAATTGCATAATCTGCTATCTCTTTACCGAAACGTCTTTCAGCGAAATTATAAATCGAATCATCTTTCATTTGCTTTTGCGGACTACGCAAGTCATTGAATATTGCATAAATAAGTGGCTTCGAAAAAGGTTCATTTGTCTGGAAAACGCCTTTTAAACTCGACGGCAATAAATGCAACGAATTGTTAACGTAAATCATTCTGTTTTTAGCTGCGGGGTGATCCGATTTTATGGGGAAGACGTGCTCGCTGAGACCTAAGTCTTGAATCATATTCAATGTGTTCAATCCAACGATACCTTTAGGCCGGATGGTCCGCGGTCCCTGCTCGAATATATAATCCTTCGTTTTTATTGACTTTATCCATCCTCCACAATAATTTGTTGCTTCTAGTAATAATAATTTCAAGTTATTATTATTACTTATGTTATTTTTGAGCAGATAGTAAGCGGTGGACAATCCGCCTATTCCTCCACCAAGTATTACTGCCATTGCTACTTCGTATGTTACTGTTCTTGCACGAATGGTATTTATTTTACATAATTTAAGTGAAATGATTAGTAACTAGTTTATTAATTAGGTTAATTTAACGCAATTATTAAAGCCATTTGTTTAGATATCTTGCGTGTATTGGCGTGTCAGACGTTTTTGTTTATAAATTATCATTCACAATTTGACATTGACATATTGACATGACTTTTTATAAAGATAAAATATTTAATCAAAAACCTATGAAATTTGAAGAAAATAGTTTTATTAGGTTTTCACGCTTTGCAATCAAATCATTATCTAATATAATTTGTAGTATAATATAATATGCTAATTTAACGTAAGAGTTATATACATATACAAACAACGACAAAAAGCACGCTCGTGTCCCAGAAGGGATAAGGCAGGGAGCAAGCCTGCAAGCGAACAAGCCCTATTCCGCAATATTGCATTTAGAGTGAAACTGACACACGTATCCTCTTAATCATGTCGTTGGTTATGGGTTTATAGGTATAATAATATATGCATGACTCATTTTTTTTTAAACTGTAAAATATCCTATGAAAGCGATAATGTGGTTGCGGTATTGTCACCAATCATCACTATAAAATAAAACAAGTGAAATCTAGTAAAGGGATAAATTGAGGTAACAAGCGTATGAAGTATTGGTCCGTGTGATGGCCACAGCTGCAGTGTCGCGCCCTGATAATGAATTCCAATTTCATACTCATTTCACCCGCATTTACTCGCGCCCGCTAGGTTTGGGACTAACTGGAAGATAGCTGATATCACGAGAGTTGTTTTCTTAGATATACTTCTTGTTTTTCAGTGGGGTTTTCTATCAAATTAATTATTATTTGTTTAAAATGTGACACTATTTTTTTAATGATGCTTGTGCGATTTCCTGATAATATTATTTTACTTAAATAACAGAGGTTTCTTGGACTTGGTATATCTTTTTGCACTAAGTGTCTAGATCGTTATCAACATACATGTTACATTTTTGGTAAAGTTGGGTTTCGCCCATTGATAAAGTCGTATATCCAAATTCCGGCACAGCTCTATGTTATTCTTTGCGTATATAAACTGTTGCGAGGATTAAAATCCTTTCATTCTGTTTCGGGACACTACAAAGTGATCGCACGATGAGTTCCTCGAGACCCAAACTCTGCGACAAGAAGATAAAATTGGCTGTGTAATATATGGTATGAATTAAACGACGGTTAGCTGGGGACTGATTTATTTTGCCAAATTAACAGGGTAGGTTGACATCACCTACCTACATTAACAATAATACATTACAATATCCCTCTCCAGATGAATTACAATGAAAATTAAAGCAATAATAATTGCACAAACTTAAATGACTAATCAAGAAAAGAAAACTTTTTTTTTTGTTTAATATAAATAAATTAATCGGTTACAAAAACAGTGTGAAATTAACCAAGCTACCATCACATACACCGCCCTTAAAATGTTGCTAGTTCCAATCAGGCAAACAAATTAATACAACTTTTAAATAAACAAAAAAAAAACTTAAACTTAATCGTAACTTAACTTGACGGTAACTTGTACACAAGGATATTGTTATAAAAAATAGAACGAAATTTAAGAAGAATAGTTTTTAGTACTAACTAGGGAAATATGAAAATATTATGTTTATTAAGTGCAATACAATAGTAGGTAAAGTAAC